TACCCTAGGCGTCAAATCTGAGCTCCAGATCCCTACTTCTCATTTTACAGCTCTTAAATTTCTCAAAAGCACCTACAACTTACCATGTACAAACCAAACTTGTACATTTTCCCAATTCAGTGAATGACATCTATTCAGGTATGCAAATAAGAAACTTGTAAGTCACCTTTGATACTTCCTTCCCCCATCCTACATATCCTGTCCATTTTTCTTCCTAAACATCCGTTCAGTCTTCCCATTTCTCCCTACCTCCACAACTGCTTCCCACATTTCTTGCTTGGGTTATTCGATTACTCATAACCGCTTTGGCCTTTTTCAAACCCTTCTCCCTATTACACCTAGGTTGAAGCTCTGAAAACGTAAAGCCAGTCACATGATCGCTTGGCTTAAATACTTAAATAGCTTCCTGCTGCGCTGAAGCTAATGATAAAACTCCAAGCCCCTGGGTTGGCACCTTCCTACTTCTCCAGCCTCACTTCATGCCACTCTGCATGCTCTTTTCTTTCTTTCAGTCCCTTGAAAGAGCCATATCCCTCAGGTCACAAGTCCTTTGCTAAGGCTGCTTCCTATCTAGAAGGCTCTTCCCAGACTCCTTATCTCTTTCAGATCTCAATTATCACCTCCTCAGATAAATCTACCCCAATTTCCCGGAATTAAATCCTCCTATAATAAGCACTCAAAATGTCACATGCCACGTGCTGCACCATTGTATCCCCAAAGCTGGTATACAGCAGGTGCTCCATATTTACTGAATGAAGGAATAAAGTTTCCAAAGCTTCCCTCAAACCGTAAAACCAGCGAAGCTACAGGATCCCTAAAGTCTCTCCAATTCTAAATTCCAATGACCACAAACACATAAAAACAAAACAACGTATCAATTCCCACTGTATCTTCAAGTAAGGTTCAATAACCACAGATTTTCAAAACTGGAAAGGCAGTTAGAGGTCATGTAATCTAAAGTAGCTTCCTACCTACAATAAATATATTCAAGTTAAGTTCAATTCTAGTTAATTTTCTCTAGGAAGAAATGGGGTTCACACCTTTGAGATCAACAGGGAACTCTGAGTTTGATGGCAGGGCACAAACTAGTGTAGCAAGAAGCAATGTTAATTGCTTGTTCATTAATATCCAAACTACAATTCGTTCCCAGGCCCTTAAGGCTCCACTGTCTAACTTCATTCAAGTTATCAAAACAGTAGAACGTGACGAAAGGGGAGTCCCACCAGACTGACTCAATGTCTTCCTTTGCTAACCACCCTAAAAACACTAAACTTTCCATCCCACCCCTCTTCTCCATCCTTCCCATCCCCGCTCCGCTAGTCTCACTTCAGTTTCATTCATGCATTCATTGCGCATTCATTCCACATTTCACAGGACGCATCCTACGTTTAGAAACCCCTGGACAGCAAGTAGCTGGCGGCATAAAGATCGATCTGATGCACGTTCCCTCCCGCCAGAAAACGGGGTTTAACCACAAGCTGACCCGAAACGGAAACAAGTAAATGCGCCCGCCCTCCTCACCACCAGGTCGTGGGCTCTCAGTCCCGCTCAGCCCAGGTCCGTATCACAGCCTCCACACTCCCTCCCCGCGACCCCCCAAGCACCCCAGCTCCTCCACCTGCCTCGCTAGGCCGCCGCTTCCCCCAGGCCCTTCCCACGCCTTTAAGCCCGCTCCCACCTCAAACGCACGGCTGTGGCCACGGCGCGGTGCTTGGCGCAGCTACCAAACCGCGTTGATCGCGAGACTCTGAAGATCCCCCGCGAGAAGAGGCCTTGGCTTTTGGCGCCAAATCTGCGCAGGGTTCGGGCGGAGCCTAAGGGACCCACCTCCTCCGGGCCCCGCCCACCCATGTCTGTCCCCGCCTTTCCTGGGTCCCGCCCTTCCACCGCTTTCGCCCCTCCTTAATTCCTCACGGGAAATGAAATTTATTTGCATAAAGCTCATTGTGTTATGCTCTAAGCACTTTAGACTTTGGAGAAAGGCCTCAGTTTTCTAGAAAACTGGCTTGTGGATGGAGTAGAAAAAAATAGAGGCAAAAGAATTTAATGAAAAACTTCTGATTGTTCAGAGTTAGTAACAATTGCTTGAACACTGAGTTTTACTGTTTATTGAATAATGAGCTGAGAAAAGAGGTGATAGAGTGTTAGAGTCATGTAGGCACAAAAAATGTCAAAAATATGTCACTTTATATATATAAATTTTTTTTTAAGACAGTTCAGGGATGTCTGGCTGGCTCAGTAGGTAGAACTGGTGACGTCTTGATCTCAGGGTTGTGAGTTCCAGCCACACTTGGGTGTAGAGATGACTTAGAAAAAAAAAAGTGAATCCAAATGTTTTCAAATTTGCTTATAATACTTGTGGGGATGGTAACTGGGAATATAGGAGGAGGTGGGATGGGGACTCACCTCTATACCTTTTTTTTTTTTTTAAGAAAGTTTTACCCCATGGCGGGGTTTGAACTCATGACCCTCAGAATCAGAGTCACTTGCTCTACCAACTGAGCCAGCTGGGTAACCCTATACCTTTTTTTTTTTTTTTTAATTTATTTATTTTTGAGAGAGAGAGAGAGAGAGAAAGAGGGAGACATTGTGTGAGCTGAGAAGGGACAGAGAGAGAGAGAGAGAGAGAGAGAGAGAGAGAGAGAGAGAGAGAGACAGAATCCAAAGCAGGCTCCAGGCTCCGAGCTGTCAGCACAGAGCCCCTTCTGGGGCTCCAGCCAACCAACCGTTGAGATCGTGACCTGAGCCGAAGTCCAGTGCTCAACCGCGCTCTGCCCCATACCATTTTTATTTTTTTAAAAAAAGTTTTTTTTCAACGTTTATTTATTTTTGGGACAGAGAGAGACAGAGCATGAACGGGGGAGGGGCAGAGAGAGGGAGACATAGAATCGGAAACAGGCTCCAGGCTCTGAGCCATCAGCCCAGAGCCCGACGCGGGGCTCGAACTCCTGGACCGCGAGATCGTGACCTGGCTGAAGCCGGACGCTTAACCGACTGCGCCACCCAGGCGCCCCCCCATACCATTTTTAAACATATAAATACATTAACTACGCAAAAACAAACAAACAAACAAAAAACCCTAAAAGAAATTATCTGTGGCAAATATGGCATTAAGATTTGACAAACCACAAAGATGGGTAGGGTTTGCAACATTATTCTACTTTGCTATAATTTGAAATATTTTGTTAAAATTATAAAAGAATAGGGACGCCTGGCTGGCTCAGTTGGTGGAGCATACAACTCTTGATCTCTGAGTTGTAAGTTTGAGCCCCACGTTGGGTGTAGAGATTACTCAAAAATAAACTCTTTTTATTTTTTTTTAATTTTTTTTTATTTTTATTATTATTTTTTTTAACATTTATTTATTTTTGAGACAGAGAGAGACAGAGCATGAACGGGGGAGGGTCAGAGAGAGGGGGACACAGAATCTGAAACAGGCTCCAGGCTCCGAGTTGTCAGCAGAGCCCGACGCGGGGCTTGAACCCACGGACCGTGAGATCATGACCTGAGCCGAAGTCGGCCGCTCAACCGACTGAGCCACCCAGACGCCCCTAAACTCTTTTTAAAAACTTATAAAAGGGGGCGCTTGGGTGGCGCAGTCGGTTAAGCGCCCGACTTCAGCCAGGTCACGATCTCGCGGTCCGTGAGTTCGAGCCCCGCGTCAGGCTCTGGGCTGATGGCTCGGAGCCTGGAGCCTGTTTCCGATTCTGTGTCTCCCTCTCTCTCTGCCCCTCCCCTGTTCATGCTCTGTCTCTCTCTGTCCGAAAAATAAATAAAAATGTTGAAAAAAAAATTAAAAAAAAAAACTTATAAAAGAATAAATGAAATGTGTGAGAATAAGATAAACTAAATTGCAAGCAAGCTGTATTATCTAAAATTGTGTATGCAAATATGTATATGTACCATTTTCCTTGATTTTATGATTTTATTTCTATACATAAATATTTTACATACAAATATGTATAAAATACATTTATCTATATCTATACATGCAAGATAACATTTATTAATATTAAGCAATTGAGAAAATTAATGTTAGGGCCCCTAGCTGGCTCAGTGAGTAGAGCATGTGACTCTTGATCTCAGGGGCTGTAAGTTTGAGCCCCATGTTGGAAGTAGAAATTACTTAAAAATAAAACCTTTAGGTGTGCCTATATGGCTCAGTCAGTTAAATGTCTGAGTCACGGTTTGTGAGTTCAAGCCCCACATCCAGCTTGCACTGACAGTGGAGAGCCTGCTTGGGATTCTCTCTCTCTCTCTCTCTCTCTCTCTCTCTCGCTCTCGCTCTTGCTCTCTCTCTGCTCTTCCCTGACTTGTGTGAGTGCATGCACTCTTTCTCTCTCTCAAACTAGATGAATAAACTTTAAAAAATAAAATAAAACCTTTTTGAAAAGAAAGAAAATTAACATTAATTTGAATAGGAAATATGTTGACTTCAATAGTCTGAAAAACTGAGGCAAGGAGCATTCTTCCAATTATCCAGGTAACAGCCTATATTCTCCACTAATAAAGTAAATGTAAAAGCACTTTGAGAAATTGAAAAGTTATACTGCTCCCCTCACCCACACCCACACAGAAAAACCCAGCCCAGAGGCTCTGAGGGTTTGAATCTCAGTTCCATCATTTACTACTTGGTGACCTTTTGTGCTTCAGTTTTCTCATTATTAATAACAGTACCTCCCGGATAGGGTTATGGGGAGCATTAAATTATAGTACTTAATGTTACCTGTTATTATCCATATAATTTTTAGAATGTTTGACCTTTTGAGAAAATGTAAAGACTTTGGTAAGTAATTGTGGGCCCATGTGAATATAACTACCACAGTTATAAAGCACTGACATACTATTATCAAAGGTAATTGTCTCTTTTGTTCATATGTGAGGAATAGTACAAATATATTTTTCAGGGGCGCCTGGGTGGCTCAGTAGGTTAAGCGTCTGATGTCAGCTCAGGTCACGATGTCACCGCTCGTGGGTTTGAGCCCCAGGTCAGGCTCGGTGCTGACAGCTCAGAGCCTGGAGCCTGCTTCAGATTCTGTGTCTCCCTCTCTCTCTGCCCCTCCCCTCCTTGCACTCTCTCTCTCTCTCTCTCTCTCTCTCTCTCTTAAAAATAAATAGACATTAAAAATATTTTTTCCATAGCAGTTTCACCAGGGATATAAAGATAGCTTTCCCATGCACTATGTCAATAACCCTCTCTTAAAACAATTTAATTGTTTTTAGAAGTGAATAGTATTACAGAAAAAATAGACTGTGAAAAGCCAAAGATTGAGTATAGAGTGTAAAAGTGTTTTTTGGCAAGAAGAGAACACACTCAGCCCAGAGATGAGGTTTGGAAAAAAGAGAAATGGAGTATATCTTTTACAACCAAAAGACCATGAACTATTTTTTTCTCACAGTAAAAAAAAAAAAAAAAAGTCTCTGATTCTTGTTGATTGGTTGGTGTTATTTGGGCTTATCAGTTAGGTGAGTGGTGGGCTGGCTGCTGTGGTCTGCTGTGTATTTGAGGACTACATCTCAAGACTGTGGCGTCTATTTGACTCTGTCTTGTACGTGACATGTCCGAGTTGGGATCCTATCACCCAACCAGGTCTATAACAGCATTAGCAATCGAGGTGGCCAGGCCAGGAATAATACATTCAGATCTGATTCTGCTATAAATAACAGGAAAAAATCCTAAAATACACTAAAATACCAATAAACAAAGTAGAAAGCTTATTTGTTTCTCATGTATAAGAAATCTTGAAGTGATGAGTCCACAGTTGGTATGGTGCTCCTTGGTGTTAAGAATCCAGACTCCTGTCTTCTTGCTTTACCACGGAAGCATCTCATTCTCAAGTTCACCTCATTGTCCAAGATGGCTTTTAGAGCTCCAACTGCATTTCAATCAGCAGGAAAGAGGGAAAAACAGCCCATTTTTAGAAAAATTCCCAGAAGTTGCATACAATTCTGGTTACATTCCATTAGGCAGAGTGCAATCACATGGCCACACACAGCTGCAAAGGAGACTGGGAATAAAGTCTTTATTCTTGGTGGTCAGGGCTCAGTAAAAAAATCAGGGTTTCTATTACTGTGGGAGAAGGGGTGAAAAGGTGTCGGGGGACATAGCAGACTGCTTCAAATAACCAAAGAGAAATAAGAAACCAATAATTAATTTTTCACATCTACAATTATGGAGTGTTCCGCAAAATATTAAGAGTGTGAATAACTTGAACTTTCACAATAGTGCACACAAGCAGCTTTTAGCACAAGAAGAATATTACATCACTGTACATTGTGTTATGCCTTTTTGGAATCTTTCCTAGACTAGACTCTGAAACCACATTATCAGCTCTACTAAGAACCCAAAGCCTAACATAATCAAATCGCTTCATTGCAGAGAGACAGAGCATGAATGGGGGAGGGGCAGAGAGAGAGGGAGACACAGAATCGGAAGCATGCTCCAGGCTCTGAGCCATCAGCCCAGAGCCCGACGCGGGGCTCGAACTCACGGACCGCGAGATCGTGACCTGAGCTGAAGTCGGACGCTCAACCGACTGAGCCACCCAGGCGCCCCCCCAAAATACTATTTTAACGGAGGATCCTGAATAGTAATAAATCAACAGGTACCTATTGAATGCTCTGTGTTTTAGGTAATAAACTAGTTAATATAAGAAAATCCCCTGTGTTTGGGGACTCCCATTGTTTTATGAGTTTATCCCTAAGATAAAAGTTGAAAATTCACCTGCAAGGCTCTGTACAGCTAGGTATACACTGACTGCCCCGTTTTTCCAAATGAGTGAGATTTCGGGTC